TATTGTTATCGACCCTTGTGCTTATTTTTTTGTCAAGTATGCTGAATTTCATTCTCCATTTTTGTGCCATTGACAGGGCAGAGTTTCCAATATAACTCGCAGTACCGGTAGCTCACGTTCACTGTGAATTTATGGCTTGAAGTAACGTTAGTACATTTTTGCTTTCGCCAATAGAGGGTTTTGTGACAACTGGCGTGGGGTGCACAAAGTTATTGTGTCATGCATCATCGCGTGGGTTTTAAGTGCTCTATGTGCATCGTTTTGTACAAGCTTTCAAACAATTTTTGGACATTAACTTATCCAAATGTCAGTGCAATACAAATGTATAATTGTCCAAAGAGGCTCTGACATGGGTACAATCTTTGACAAGACTGATCCTCAACTTAGGAATCTGTGGGAAAAAACAATGGATGGAAACTCTGTAGACCATCAAAATCACTTTTTAACCAAAAAAATTCAAACAAATTCCCCACATTAAAATTTTTGACCCAAAAACTTGAAGAGAAAAAAAGATACTACCCACCTACATGTACATGTTTTTGTTTGGGGGGGGGCAATGTACATGTAATAGAAAGCACAACTATTATTTTGTTTGGCCTACCCAGTACATGTACATGTAAGTTACAAGTTTATGTATTTCCTACAGTAATTACTGATTTGTAATACATCGATATTAAATGTGTAGTATATATAGTGTGCAGTGCTCTACCATGCCATCAGCACTCATGCACTGCACTCTAAAAAATTCCTGAAAATTCCTCACAATTTGTTAGCTGTGTAGGAGGAATCTTTTTGCTAGGTCCCCTACTGGGCCCTGTGCCTTGGATATCCGAATGGCACCCTGCTTGGCAGCAATACCATGCATGCCATGTCATCTCTGTGTCCTGCTTGTGCATTGTTGTGGGCCATCAAGGCTCAACCATCTCCTTTTTAGGCAAGTGAACAAATTCAAACGCAACTGTGCCAAAACGACGCCATGAAGGCATCCTATACACGTAGTTTATGGAGTTCAAAATCCCTTCCAAAGTTATGTATGCAGCCTCTCTCTTACATCTTTCACTTCTTTAAGTACTAAAAAAACAAAAACAACCAAACATTCTGCTAAACTGCTTGTTAAAGAGACAATCTCGTGAAAGAGAAATGCTTAAGTAAAACACTGGTACAGCGTATATTGGCGAAGAAAACAGAAAGCAAGCTAGTCTGAAGACACACAGTTTGCCAGGGATCTTGTAAATAATGGACTTCAACTGAACAGCCTCTCAGTCACAGATAACTATGGAAACAAAATACATCTTTGTGCCGAGGAATCTTGTGGACAAAAAAACAATGCTTCAGTTGACAAGATGCTGTTTCTCAAAGATTGGCATTGCATCTCAGATAAAACCTAGCAGGAATTGGCTTTTGCGTTTGACTCACTGCCCTCATTGTGTAGTTTGAGAATACGGGCAAATGAAATAAACTGTTCAAGACAAAAATTGTTCCTGAGCACCAGGCACTCTGTGAACTGTCTGAAGAGAAACTTGTAAGAGCATTACTTAAAGCATGACGTCACTTTATCCAGAATACAAATCACAGATGGAAGTCTGGTAACCGTAGTCAAAGTCATAGTACATGTAGATGGAATCTCCTTTGGATAAAGAATGGGGATAACTCACTTTGGATTCTCTGTTATTGCTTACAAATTCCAATTAATGGATCATATTTTTGTTTTTGCTCAAATCTCTGAAAAATATGATAAACTTCGACCACTTTTCAGTGATATCATCAATAACATTAGCATTTTATTACATGTTGATGTAGATAGTAAGATGCACTGGCAGTAAAAGTAGAAGTAAATTAAAACAAAACCACAGTTCATTACTTATTAATATGCATACATATTTTTGCATATGGATCACAAGAATAGTCATTACGTTGTCACCTTTCGATTTTTCCAATGCAGTGTGTCCAAACCTGAAGGTGATAAGAACTGAGCTGATCACTAATGAATGTCTGCACTTTTCAAGGAGATTGCCTCATTAATATAATGCAGGTGTCATTGTTTTAATGAGGGAAATCTGATTGAAAGTAATAAGAGTGGAGCAGGTGTGGTAGGGATTGCACACTGCACCAGTTCTTCAGTAGACACATGTGAACAGGTGTTGAGTGTAAATTGGACACCCTGTGCAAGTTTGAACTTGTGCAATGATTTTCAGAGTGCCTAGATTACTGGTACACTGGCTAATTTGTGTTTGCACCCTCTAGTTGCAATTTGTGTAAAGAAATATGATCACAAATTGACAACCTTTTGCAAGTTTTGTAAGGTGCTGTAGTTTCAGAGTTGTGATATTGGTAATTGTGCCTGAGCACTCTTAGAAACGTTCACTTTCCCACAAAGTAAATTCACAACCAAACCAAACATGCTATTAAGAAATTGTGGGAGGAAGAAATGTTTTGTTTATTTTAAAAATATCATCGATCAAAAAATCAAAGTACGTGTAGTCATCGCTGACATTGCCAATTCCAAATGTAGCTCTTTGTAGGTTGTGTAGTACTTATCTTATGCACTGAGACCTATTTGTGCAGCTTTGACCCAAAAAATACACGTTTGCTTCAGTTTTTGTTGATTTGGTTTAATGTACATGCATGTGTACTGTACTGTAATGTTACATCTTTGTTCCAACAAACAAGAGCCTCAAGTCAACATTTTGGGGGAGGGGGTCAAAATTATTTTGAGGGGCCAAAAAATTCAGATCTTTTTTCATGAAACTACTTTTTATGGGCGTCCAGGGGATAAGGCCAATTTGAGCTTCTTACACACTTTAGAATAATGGCATAAGAAATAGACCAAAACCTTGCCTTTCTCTCATTATTTTAAAAGAAATATTTCGTTTTTGAAGGGTCATGGCCCCTGTTGAATTCCCCTCCACAATGGTAAGATGGGGGAATCAACTGAAAGGTTAAGGAGACAAGTGTCGTCATCTTATTTGTTTTTGCATGGAACCAAATACTCTCTACTATAAAGTACGGGTAACTTGAGACAGAGGCAGCAGGTATGGTAGCTAGTGGATAGAAACATGCCAAATATTATGGAAAACTGAGTTTGTCAAACCTGTCATCTTAGGCTACTTCTTTTCATTAAATTGTAAAATTTGTCTAGTTGGAAATCAAATAACGAACCCTTTCCCATGTTGTTGTGACACCTCTACATTTACATGTATATCCATTACCGAGCTGAGAATATCTACATATCTACTGAATATGTGTGGGTCTGCATCCTCATGTTCTAGTTTTCGGAAATGAAACAATTGCCTGGTGAAGCCCTTGGCTTGTTACTGCAGCTTCATTGCATAACATGTATATGTGCATGTATACATGTACATGTATGTACAATGCAAGTGTTGCTGGTGGCCTTTAATTAGTTTGTCTTGACTACATGTACATCTTATCAGTATATTCATGACAAAATGTTAAGCATACAGTTACATGTACATGTACATAGCATGCATGTACCGGTACGTGTAGGTGCACTACAGTAGGTTATTTGATGAGTCCTGATCTCCTGGATGTCATTGCCTGGAACGTTCCATGCCTGATTGCCTGGAACGTTCCATGCCTGATTGCCTGGAACGTTCCATGCCTGATTGCCTGTAAAAGAAACTGGTGGCTTATTCTTTATTCACATACCGTACATTTACAATACACCAACTTATTAGGGGCAGGGCAGGAAGACTCACTAGTGTATACTATAGAGGTGGCTGGGCTCTACATGTGCCTTCTACTTTCCTGTTAAACCCTCAAAACGAACTTGATAAATTATGAACAGTCTTAGGGATTTCGAATAAATATCAACAAAAACAAAACTATCCAGGCGAAATTATGCTGTTGCCATTCACAAAGAAAAGTTTTGAATTTTTCTGCTTGACCATCTCAGGCCTTGAATTCATCAAGGGATGTGCCACCCATGCCAAACCCTTATTATAAAGGCAGCCCATCTGACGTTCATTGCCAGGGCATACCATGTGGCCGCAATTTGCATTATCTGCACTGTGCTAAAAACCTCTTGCCTCTCATATCCGCTATCGTGTATTATTGTTTAATTGGCAAGTTGTGTTTTAATACAGTACAGGTACATGTTTGTATAGACAGACAAATGCTACATGTGTAGGATCCAATTTGGCTTGTCTGCCTGTATACGTGTACATGTAATTCATCAGATGTTGTACAGACATTTTTCTTTGAATTTCATAAGACACGTTTGCTGAGCTTTTGCAAGAACAGATTGCCCAGTTTTGGAGTATAGTTCACAATGTACATTCTGACCTCCTGACAAGATTGAATTGTGCATTTGGACAGCTTAATCACATCCCTGGAACAAGGTTGAGGATTATAACACTGTAGTGTGTGTTTATTCTGTAGACTATAGATTTGTAGATAGATACATGTAAGTAGATTGTAATTTATATGGTATAAAATTTTATTGCAAAGCGCATTGAGGTTTCTCCCCGTTTTGAAATGCGCTATATAAAAAACACATATTATTATTATTATTATTAGTGCAAGTTTGGTTCATTTCACGTGGAGATACCCAAAACATTTTTGGATGAATGAAAAACTGCACTGTGGACTACCGCTACTTCTGTGTGTTCAAGGAATTTGCCCCACAGTGATTTCATGTTTCTGAGACACCAAGTCAGTAGGAAATGTGAAGGTGCCCCAATCATCATTATTTCACATTTGAATTTGAACATTATACATGCACTGTTGATAACAACTTGCAGTTTTTTCCTGTCATCTTGTCTGTTGGATCTCTTCTGAAGAGGAAAGAACCCTCTGGAGCAGCTTGTTAGATGTTGATTGGGCGCGGATAGGGTTACACAGAATTTTGGATGGAAGACTTGGCCCTGCTCCCAATCCACGTACATGTACATGTATGTATTCTTGCAATATTTTAGTTGCAGCAGGCATGAAGTGTCCAGTACTTCAACTTAATTGGCTGGTATTGCATTTTCTTTATGTAGAGATATTCTCTGCATCACCATTGATCAGGACATCACATTGGATGATTTGTCTGCTGATATGAGGGACATCTGCAACTTTGATGAGGACCAGTGTTTCACCATGAAATGGGTAGATGAAGAGGGTAAGTGGTGCACAATGCACATCATGTACAGTGTACATGTACATGTACATGCTCTTTGGTACTGTGCAGTGTTTTACATGTAATGGGTGAGTTGGGAAGAAAGATCCTAAACTACATGTATGGCACACAGTGATGGGATGCAGTGGGTGCGGGAAACCCAGAGTTTGGCCATAAACTACCTGTAAGTGGATGAGGCAAGGGAAGTCAGAAACTGCGAGATTGAGCAGTGTACAGCTGTGGCCATGTTTCCATTGGACTTTTTTGGTTAACTTTTTGTGACTTTCCTGTAGAATGACCAATTAAATCCAATTGGGGCATGCGGTAGGTAAACTGATGTTCCTCTTAACTTACCGCAACCATGATGTAAAACTATCAAGCCGAAATTGGTCACAGAAGATTTCCGTGCAGCCATGGTAAGTTAGCCGGGGTGCTAAAAAGTCCCATGGGAACAGTTCCATGATGAAGATTTACTGCTGCCACACTGTAAATCTAACAGGACAGCTCACAGTTACACATACACAGAGATATGACAGTGTGTGCACGGAAATGTTTGCATAGTTCCCTGTGTCCTTTCGTACAGCAAACCAACATACATATACAGCATGCACAGCCAGTGAAGCTTAACTGGCAAAAGCTGTACATGCATATACTGTACATCTTGTTTGATCATTACTTCAAATATACATGTAGCAGATTTGGTTAAATTGTCAGATTTTGTCACTTTTTGCAGATTTTCAATTTTTGTCATATCCTGCTCAGGTCAAGGGTGATTTGCACAGCGCTTGTTATGTACGGCATTCAGCTAGTTTCGCACAGTGAAGAAATATTCAGTTAGGATTAAAAAGTCCAAGTAGGAATGCTCAGTAGACTGACATGAAATACCATACATATAATGTCGCGGTAAGTTTCTGTGTGGCCTCAGAAGAAAAATGTCCAGTGGAAACATGGCTTATGACATGAGTGCAAGGAAGGAGTCACACATACATACATACATAGAATAGGGTCTTGTTGAAACCATAGCTCTATGATGAAACTGGGATGTGGAGACAGTGAGTTCAGATAGCATCGCATGCATAGGGTACCAAAGTGAATATGTTACATGTACAATTTTGTGTGCAAAATACATTAGCATGAGAACCAGTGCTTGAACCAACACACGTGCATACTTCATTTGTGTGCACCATGCTTCGGTACTCCCATGGGTGAGTGGGTGAAAACTAGCGGGTATCCATGAAATACATGTACCGGTAGGTGTCTTAGGAGGGCAAATTCGGCAGAAACACTTGAGAACTGAAATACTGGATTACACGGATGCATGAACATCTGTGCTGTCTTGTAAAATCGATAAAGTAACAAGTCAAATGCAGGAGGATGATTCATAGCCAGAAGGATAAATAAGAAACCAATGAATTTATGTAAGTGGATGGAGAGAATTAGCCATTTTGCAGTTAGGTATTTCAAAGAGACAAGGTCATTCAAGAACAAAGCACCTGATGTTGCACCAGTTCAAACATTTCCAATGCATGTCGGTGTATTGTTGCCCTGATGCAACCAACCTTGCACACTCCTATCGGTGTTTTTGAGTGACCTACGCATGAATATGTATGATGCACTTCGTGTTGCGTATGCACTGTCTAAATGCAGAACATGCTCATTAAAGAGGCCTAGAAATGTTAAAAAATTGGTACATGAAGGCTAATGCAATACTTGGAAACGGATATACTGTACATGTACATGTAGGGTCATACCTAATGAGGTAGACCCTGAGGGTACCTGCACGTTATAAACATACACATGCAGGTCATTAGCTAGAGTTACTGGTGAACAGTGAACTGTTATGGGAAAGATTGAGTAAGGGAGCTTTGAAGATACATGTAGATTTCGACACCATAAGTTCAAAGTGATCAAGGCTTTAAATCACATTTATGTTATTCATGCATGTACACGTTGATGTACCGGTACATCTGGATTATTCTCTGTGTTACTTTCTTCGTGTCTCTCTGTCTGTAGGGGATCCATGTACCATCTCATCTCAAGAGGAGTTGGAGGAAGCCATCCGACTGTATGAGGTCAACAAAGACTCTAATATCACCATTCACAGTGAGTGAACTGGGCTTCTTTGATTTATTCGATCTGGGTTTGCTCTTTTGGGATGCTTTGTGGATATTTGTGGAATTTGCCACATGCCAATGACCCCTTTATCGTTATCCTTTTCATTACCTGTGGAGCTTCATCACAAGCTTTGCCAAGTTTTGATTTCTTCTCATGGAAGTCTAAAGGGCACAAACATGTCATTTAGAGAAAATAGAGAAAACGAAAGGAACCCTCGCCCTGTGTTCCTAGTGGATAAACCCTTGTGTGTGCCAAGCAATGCATGTAGCCATTGTTTGTAGAGATTGTTAGGCACGCACAAGGGTTTATCCACTAGGAACACATGATGAGGGTTCCCTCATTTTCTCTGTGTTCTCCAAACGATGCAGTCTACATTCAGAATTCGCGTAAGCCCTTTTTAGCTTGTTATAGTTGAGCTCTGAAGACAAATGACACTGCGTTCAATTTGGATACTACCATATTTATTAATTTTAACAGATAAAATCAGAGAAAACATGTTTCCCTTAGAGGTGCTCTTTAATGTGCAGGCTCTGATCCAAAGCCCTTTGTCATCCCATCATTTTTATCAACAGCACTCTCTTCATCATCACCCTGATCTTGAACACCACCATCATCTTCATCAACATAACCCCAATCATTATCTTTATCACCATCATACCATCCTTGTCACAGAGGTTGTTCTTGTTTTATCATTATCCTCATCTCTTCATTGTTATCCCAGTCTTTAACATCTTCCTCCATCTGCATCACCAACTTCATCATCACCATAATTACTATTAGCAACCTCATCGTCATCGCTGTCTTCCGTCTTCATCATAAACATTCTTACCTTCACCACACAACCATCTTCTCATCTTCATCTTAATCACTTCTAACCTTTACAGCATGACAGTTGCATGTACGACCTTCAACCAGTGTCATATTTTTCTCATAGTCAGCTTCATTCTCAACTTCAAGTTAATCGTTATCTTAATGTTCATCACCATCGTCTTGGTTCCACATCTCAAATCCATTTGAATCGCCATTCTTACATTAATCATCCTAATCTTCATCTTTATGTCATTGCCATTCCCATCGTCACCTTCCTCAAGTCAGTCACTGCTATTCCCATCG